CGTGCTGAGACCGCTGCGTCGAGGGAACATTGTTGGTCCTTTGCCAGAAATCATGTCAACCCGAGGAGGGAAGTATTAATCCGACTGCTACTGCAGAAGTCTGGAAATCAGGTGGCAGGCTGAGAGGATCAGCTGTATTTCCAGGAAAAGTCATCAGGAAAGCTCACCTACCCTCACGAGGATCGAGAACAGAAGATGGCTTCCTCCTTGGGAGCCGAGAATATGTAATCGAATGTAGAGGCCTATAAATAGAACAAACGAAACCCAGAAAGGGGTTAGACACCATTGGTATTACAGAGAGAACTTGTAAACATCTGAGAAAATAATGCATGCACAAGTGGATTAGGCATAAAATTATTGCCGAACCACTATAAAACGGTTGTCCCTTCTACATTATTTTACGTTTTATTGCTTGATTCAGTGGTTGGTACAACCGTGAGCGTTTCTGGAGAGGTGATTACGAGTTGTTAGAAAAACACCGTCAACATAAAGCATTATATTATTGGATTGAAGACTCCTAAAACATGTTTCTCAAGGACTGGAAACATAGACTTGGATGAGGAGTTGGTCGGTCCAATTCATGGTACATTTGGGGCTGTCATGCATTTTAATGTTTATTAATTTAAGAGGAAAACGGTTCTTGGCTTAGTTTGGTAGTACTGTAGATTTAAAAAAAATTATTTTTAGTTGTGTTGAAGGAAGAAGCAGCTGTTATAAGAAGCAGCTGAGTGTTTAGTAAACTGTAATTATAGTAGCTGTGTCGGTTCCAAAATCAGTGTAATAGCGTTTGGTAAATTTTGAGGTTGAATTGTTGTGGGTATGTAAAATGACCAAAATAGACATGACATGAAACTTAAATATATATATATATATAATTATTTTTGGTATTTAAAAATACTTGTTTAACTGTAAAAAAAAATGCTATGATTTTGAATTTTTTAACAATAAATTTATGATAATTAATTCTTTTTTTTTTCATTTCTTCATTCACAATATAATTACAACTAAAAGGAGCATTAGTGACAATTACTCAGGGACAGTTACAGTCTTCGAGTTGTGGAATTATTTAGTGCTCTCTTTCTTACAAAGCTTGGCAGGGACAGTTGCAGTCTTGATAACGCAACCAAATACCATAATTATCAAATTTGGTAGAGTTCTTTTCAAAAATTTACAAGAAAATTTTAATATATCAAGACCATCTCCAATGCTACTGTTGATACCAATATTGATTCTATTTTGAGCTCACATATGTAATGTCATTTCAAAAAGAAAAGTTTCCAAATACAATAATAATTTAATAAGTATAGAAGAATCAGAAGCAACCGCCTATGGTTGTCTAATTTGCCAAATGTTGTGTGGCACTAATATTTGTATTTGCATCAACCGTATTTTGGGTCTGGATGCAAACTGCAAAAATTTCGATGGATTGATCATTTTGAAGCCTTACATCCGAAAAGAATAGATATATTGTAGCCTTACAATATATATACGTATATTATAAAATTTCAAATTGGCCAAATGAACTATCTCTAATTTGACAATTCCCAATTCATTCCTCTTAGGTTGGCACACAATATCTTAACGAAGTAAATTATTGGTTCAAGAAACTAAACATTTTTGTAATTTAATAAACTAAGGGTGTTCACAGATCTCAATCCGTGGATTGAAGACCAATTCGCAATCCAATGCAGAATTGTGGATTGAGAAAATTCTAATCTGTGTCCTATCCAAAATTTTTTTGAATTGGATCAAATTCAATCCAAAACATATTGAATTTTGTGGATTGGACTCATGAATTCACGGATTTTGACATTTAAAAATATAAATTAATAAAAATAGATACAAAATAAACACAACATGAAATATTAATAAACATCTATATTGTTACTTCAAGCGAGAAAAAAAAAAAAAAAAAAAAAAAGGTTTCACAATGTGCTGGGTTTTGTAGTAGGGACTAGGGATATTAGATATGAGCTTTATAGTAGGGATATCAAATCTGAGCCACTAACTATATACTAGATTTTTTAAAAAAATTTAAAGAATTAACTTAGATATTTTATATATATAATTATAAAAATTATACATATGTATATATATAATTTTGAATTCGTGGATTGGAAAGTGTTTAATCTGCAATTTGATTCAAAACTTTCGAATTAAAATTTTCTCAATTCGTGTCTGATCTAAAATCATTTTCATTTTGATCTAAAACCATTTTTAATCCGATTTAAAACTTTAAATTGGATTGAATTTCGGTTCGAATTGGATTAGATTTTAAGGATAATCGGATTTGCAGATTATGTGATAACCCCTTAATAAAACCATGGTCATTCACTAAAAATATGTTTTAAAAGGGCGATTTTGGCACGTACCCTCGAAAAATACGATTTGACTATTCATGAAAGGGAAAAAGAAAATCAAAACAGATAGCTATGGTTAAGACTGAAAAGGACCTTGCCACGTTAGCCACTCTATACTTCTTCTCACGCGTGTAGACTAGTCAAATGGGCTAATGCGCGGCGGTGATTGGTGATTAATGGTCACCTATGAGGTGACTGTATTAACCCATAATTAGAGAAGTTGATTTGTTGAATGATAGTGGGAGGCTAGGAGCATTATAGGTATCACCAAATAATAATAATAAATAAAAAATATGATTTTATAATAAGGAATCCCCAATGGTACTTTTCTAAATAAAAGCTTAAACATCAATTTAGTATCATTATCAAAAAATTAGAACTAGTATAGTATGAACGTTTTACAATCATCTCATGCTGTTATGAGTGTTAACATAGAAAATTAAGCATTTGCATGCTTTTATTAGCAATCCTCATGTTATATTAGTTTCAACCAAATCACATTAAGCATGCACAAATCTTCCTAATGAGTCATTGTTTTTATTCTCAAATTATTATTACTGCAATCTCATGTTATTATAAATGTTAGAGCATCTCCAATGCAATGCATAATTAATGTGTTAATTATTAATTTATCATTAAGTGTAAAAAACACTCTAATACAATGTTATTTGTTCTGTTAAATTTTTCATATGCTATATTTTGTGATAAATTTCCCACAAAGTACAACATATGGTAAATTTGACTCTTGATTCCTATTGGTTGATATACTTATTTTTTCATTTAATCATTACAACTTTTGTTTTTTCAAATTATTTTAATATTAAAAGTTTACTTTTATAATTTTTAAAGCTTAATAATTATAAAATGAATATGACTATGGTACCACGTCGGATAAGTATGGATACCTGTTTTTTTTTTTTTTGGAGAAAGAGAAAAATAAGCCAAGACTTGAGATGAATTAAAATTAATGGGCCAATAGTTTATATAAGTTAATAAATAGGTCAAATTACTGTTTTCGTCCATAACTTGTCTGGTTATGAACCATAACTTGACAAGTTATTGTCCATAATTCATGGTTTTTGTCCATAACTTGTCTGGCTATGAACCATAACTTGACAAGTTTGTCCATAACTTATCTGGTTATGAACCATAACTTGACAAGTTATGGCCTATTAATTTCTATAACTAAAAGTTGACCTATATACTTTCTTAAGCTTTTCATATTGGCCTATTTTCTACTATTTCCGTTTTTTTTTTTCAAACATTCAGATTAAAAGTCAATGGTTTCAGATCAAGGTTACATAAAAACAAATATAGACACCAATACATTTGATAACAAAATCTAATAATCACAAGGGAAAAAAAGAGAGAACATGCTAAAAAGAAAACACTCGGGCAAAACCTGTTTGATAGCTCCATCACGCCAGAATTTGCCACACAAGTTCCACCTAGTCACACCAAGACTTGCCCCTCACCTTGTATCCCCATTGCGACGGAATCACAAATCACGACCTCTATCGCCGTCGCGAGGAGTCACGATGAGATGCCGCCCCATCGTGATAGTCACAATGAGATCGCGATGCCATTGCAAGAATTATGGGGGTGGGTCTCACAGCAAAATCGTGAGGACACGACCCCGGTGGGTGGGGTTCCCTCTTAGAGATCTTAAAACATTTTTAGATCTTGGAGGGTCACTGGTAACCTCCTTCAGGCGACATAGTGGTAGATTTAATTTCCATAATATATTTTTTAAAATTTTTTCCTTTATTTTTAATTTCTTTTTTGGGTTTAATGAATTTGATTTGACACAATCAAGTGTTTTTTTTTTTATTTTTTTTTTATTTTTAATAATGTCATCACAAGAATTCAATGTTTATTCAATGGATGAAAATGTCATTATCAATAACGGAAAAAAAAGTGGGAGGTATGTTAGCATTTACCTTATAGAAAAAATAGAGATTAACCTTTAAAATAACATTATGCATTAGAGTATAAATAAAAATAACATATCCTATCATATCTTTTCATGTTAAATATACAATTGACATTAGCATTTACATTGGAGTCTAACATAACATTTTATACATTATGTAACAAATTAAAAATTATTTGTCAAGGTAACAACAATAAGGTTACCGTAATTGAAGCCAAATCCTCTTTGAGAAAATAGAGAATTTATCTTTGAAAGCGCATGCGTCTAGACTTTTACCCTTTATTTTTAACAAATACCATTTTATTCGTGTAATTATATGACTAAAAAAGTTGTGAATCAAGAATAAAAAAAAGTAAAAATTCTCACCATGCACTCAAGATTACCCAATCTCTTTTGTACCCTTCTCTATGAATAATATCCTTAGTTGATAGATAATGAGAAATTAAGGGAGGAAAGATTTAAGAAATAACATAGATTTATATGGAGGTAGATGCTTCTAGACTTCACACACACACACACACACACACACAAAAGGACACGGAAGGAGCAGTGGGTCAATCTGGCTCTGCAGCCCAGCCCACATGGTATGAAAAGGCCAGGCAAATCCGGTCCTCCGATATTACTGGCATTTTGCAACTTTATTAGAGATAACTAGAAATATTATGCGCATAAAAAAAAGGGTCAAATTAGGGATTCTGTCCCTCGCTTCTTTGGTTTTATGTTCCAGTTTCACCCTTCTTATGTTTGATACAAAGATTTACCCAACAAAATTACTAGTTCATTCAAAAAAATAAAAAATAAATAAATAATTACTAGCACTAGTCACTACAATAGGAATAGCATTTCAAAGTAATGGTACACCATTTTCCTATTCCTAGTTTTTTGTTTCACACATTGGTATTGGGCATGAGAAAACTCCACCTTATAAAAGGATGACTTTCTGACAATATTTGAATAGCGTATTCCACTTCATATAAAAAATAAAGAGCAAAGCTTTAAGAAAAAACATCCATTCTTTGGTACTTCAAGTATAAGTTATAATTAAAGTACCTCAATCAGAGAAAATGTCTATCAAGTCATCGGATTCTTCAGACGATTGGCCTCGAATTGCCTCAATAGCTGCAACGACTGATGATAGAGACTAAGGTTGATGCCGTCGACGTTCCTTCCGACACGCGCCTGTAAAACTGCCTGAAATAGAACAAACACATTGGAGATTTGTAGGAATATTAATCTGTAATCAACTAGACGATATATCAATAGTTTACCTGATTATCAGGTTGAATAAGTAGTTCACCAATAAACTGGTAGATGGAGCCAATTCGAAAGCTAATTTCCCTTAGGTGCTCGGTATTGATCTTTAATTTGGCGTCTCCATCGACAACCATGGCAATGGCTGTCTCCGCTGAGTACTCTTCTAGCCTGAAGAGAAAAAGGAGACACCAAGCTTCACAATGTTTAAATTGTTTGAAATCATAGTGATAAGATAATGAAAATAAATTAATGGAATCAACAATATGCATGTGGTCCAATCATTGACCCACCCATACCGGTATAACATAAATACATGAAGCATCATGCAATTATATGAATCAGATGATCTGTTTGCAATTATGAAGCAATGATTAAGCTGATAAGCCACTGCTTAGACAAGTGTATATTAGGAGGAATAAGAGAGGGGTAGGAGCGGGAAATTAGAAGGTGGCTCAGGTGTGAGTGTTAGAAGAGGGGGAGTTAGTTAGAAGTCGGTTAGCAGAGGGGTTGATACTGTAATTAGTCTTGAAAGTCTTGGCTGTGTCCAAGCAGGGGAGGCTTGCAGACCCTCGAAGTCTGCTGAATACTTGTAAATCTTCCATTTCTGAATAAGAGAATGCTTGTTCTTCTTCTTTGTTGCTATATTTTCCTACGATTAGCCTAGTTCTATCAATTTGGTATCAGAGCATTGTTCTAAGAGATGGCTGCGGGCAAGAAAACGGAAGAAAAGTCTGAATCCGTGGAGAAGGAGATGCAGCAGATCAAGGCTTCGCTGGAAAAGGGAATCGATGATGTTAGGGCGGAGATGAGCCAAAATATGGCGAATCTGCGTCGTTTCATGGAGCAGTTGCGGTTACTGACGGCACAGGCAATGATGGGATCGAGGGCGGAGGGATCTGGAACCGTCGCCGCTGGAGTTCACGATGGCTGCAGGGTTGGGGTTTGCGAGGGTTGTGATACGCATGCCATGAGGGAGCGACGCGAACCTGTGGGTCAAGTGGAGGAATTTGAGCAAAATTTAGGGGAACCGGTCGAACCTAGGGTTTTCGTTGGTGAAGGACGCGGTGAGTTGCATGGAGTCGGCGGCGGTATTGATCCGATCGGTGGAGTTCTTCCGCGCGGAAAGGAGAAAATTGCGATTCCTAGGGCTCATGAAGGATTCCGCTGGGGTTCTGTTTGGGAAGAGGGTTACCGGGCGGCAGAGGGTGGATTCAAATCGAGAGTGGATGGATGTTTTGAAGGACTCAAGGCCGGTGAGTCTGTTTGCAGAGGTGGACGGAGAATTTTTGGAAGGAGAACGGCGTGGGAGAAGGGGGAGTTTGACGGGAGATTTCCGGGACATGGAGTGGGTCTACCCGAGGATTTGGAGGGGTCCAATGGGGAGTTTCCGGAGCTGTGGGGGGAGGATAATTGGCCACCGGTGAGAAGGAAACACTTGGATTATCCTATGTTTAGTGGTGATGATCCAGACAGTTGGGTGTTCCGAATGGAACAGTTTTTCTCCATTAACCATTTTTCGGAGAAGGAAAAAATAATCACAGCAGGACTAG